AAGTACAGTTGCTATTCAATAATACGAAAGTCGCCTCTAAAAAGCTAAATCTTTCGCATACAACTAACTAGCAATCAACTCTTCACAGTGTTGCTAGCACTAAATCCTAACAAGGACCTGATGCACATCCTAACAAATAAAAAGGTTTTGATTAACGCCTAGTGAGTACAAACAAATTACATAATTTATATAAAACGGGAAAAAAGGCTATTTAAATCACAATTTCCAAAAAAAAATGTATTAATTATCAATTTAAAAACCCATCATTTTCGTTATGGAACTCATAAATCAAAACATCCATGTATGATAAAAGTAAAACACAATACTCACTCAAAACGTGAATAAAGTTAAATATCCAAATATTAAAAACATGGATAAAACTCCATTACCCAAAACAATCAAAATATGGATAATGTTCAAAACACCGAAGTCATAATTATGGATAAATCATTAACACTCCATACTCCAAATGTCACCGAAAACATGGATACACTTTATAAAAAAAACACTGTTCTGTGACGGGGGAGACCTGTTTCCAATGCATGTGGCGGAACATAAAAGTAGGCCACGTATCAATGTTCTCAAACTACACCTCAGATCATTGACTTTAGTGCACACTATATAAGCATCACCTCAAGTCCTCAATACCTTTAGTGTACACGCCCACTGGCGTCACCTTAAAGTCACGGTACTTTTAATGCACACGCCCCACTAAGCTTCACTTCGAGGATATCCGATCTTAGTGCTTATTTGCTCTATAGTAGAGTTCTAACCTCAAGGTTCCCATTCGACCTTTAGTGTCTAATCACTAGCATTCAGGATAGGACCCTCAAAACCTCCTACTTTATAACACAAAACATTTAACCCTCATGCATAAGGGTTAAAGCATCAAAATCACAATAATCACGGTCCTGGGGTCTGATTCGTAATAATCCATCTGTAAGGTACCGAGATGACCAAGATGCCTACACGAGCATTGATCACAAAGTGAGGACATCAAGACTCCTCGATTATCAAATACGACTAACTTACATGCCTATAGATCCAATGCATTATAGTCTAAATTGCATTACTCCAAATGAATGACCACGCACTCAGAACATGTAATTGCTCAAATAAAAAGGCATCTCATGTCCAAAACTCCACATAGAGCAAATTATACTTGACGAAGTTCCTCAAAATTCAAATGAGCCAAAATCATCCCAATGAATCCACACTTATTTGACTAATTAATCCAAGTCAAAATAATGAAAAAATGCCTTTAAACCACATTCATGCAAATACATTCGCCAAAAAGTATAATTAGCTCAAAAATCCATATTTTGCATATCCAAATGAAATCAAACTATGCATTTCCCAAATGGTTTATAAAACCAAAATCACTAAAAATGTGTTTACATCAAACGACCTCCATTTACACAACAAATCATCAAAAGAACATAATAATATGATTTATTTATCAAAATATCCAAAAATCCCAAATATAGGCATTTCGCAAGATTTATAAATCAAATGTACTCAAGACGAAAATCTCATCAAATAAACAACACATTTGATAAATATCAGTAAGGCATATTAAGACTCCAAAATGGACATTTTTGGCATGTACAAAATTTTTATAAAGCAACTTGAATTCACCTTGCTAGGTAGGGTAAACCTAGGTCTTACGCCAAATTTTGAACTTCCTTTGGTGAAGGGTAGAAATCCTCAAGCTATAACTCCAAATCTACGATGCAAACCCTCAAAAACACCTCCTTTACTCCCAAATTTTACAAAAATAAAAACCCAAGAAATGATGAGAATTGTTGGTAAAAATGAACCAAATCCTAAATTCAGGAGATGAGAATTTAGATTTACCATTCACTCTATGGGACCATAAAGAACCAACCTATGTCTACTAAAGGCCCCAAAATTAGACCTAAAACTTTAAGGGTGCTCAAGGTAGAGAGAAAAAGTAGGGAAGAAAGAGTTTTGGAGGAAAGAAATGAAAGAATGAGGAGCACGGTTCTTGTTGGTCAGGATAAAACCTCTAGTGCAACTTTGGTTCAGCCTAGGTCGCCTGACACCTTTTCCTTCATGTTGCCTCGACGCTTCACCCCCATCCGGGCAGCTTTGGTCATGCGACTTAGGTCGCCCCAAAACCTACCCTGACCGATGTTACCTCTAACTTGAGCAGATTGATGCCCAAACACATTCCAGTGATACGAGTGGCTTTTCCTGTGGTTTAGGCTGCTCGGGAAGTCGACTGAACTTCATGAAAGTCCAAATTTCGATACTTTTGCTCCTATTCATCTTGAACCAACCCAAGATTAAAAAACCCATCTCAACATTAATTTCTCAAATTTTAATGTCAGATCTGACTACAACTCTCCCATTTCCAAAATACATATTAAATCATAAAATTACGGGTGTTACATTATAATCATTTTTGGAATATTCTCTAAATTTGAAGATTTTTAGAACATCTCCAACAGATTCTCCAAAATGAAGAATCAAAACTCAAAATCTCTGTAGAAAATTACATCAAACTCCAACACATTCTCTCTTTTAGAGAGTATAACATTCATTATATTACTAAAATACTGTATGTGTTTTTGTTTCTTGGATCAGGAGAGCTTTTTCACTCTTCGCCCAGGCATCCAAAACCATAGGTCAAACCCGACTTCTTGAATGATCCTTCCTCTTTCTATATATCTGTGTCAACCGTTTTAAGCAAAGAAACTGTTTATTTTATTTTTATATAGATAATAAAATGATATGATGAAATAAAAATGAAGGTGATTCCAAGAAAAATAATTGAAAAGAAGTAATCTTAAAAAAGAACAAGACACCCCTTCTTGCCTGCATAAAGAGACAGTGTCAAACAAACCTATGATTTCGACTTCTCCTTCTTCTTTAATCATTACTAGAGACAATTTGTTTATGTCATTTTCTATATATACATACACATTTTATATATCTATTCCTTTTCTATACCAATTATACATTCAATAATAATAACACTAATTTTTTTTAAAAAAATTGCATGAAAATGAAATATACTGTATTATTTTAGTGTTTACGAATATATATCTAAAATAAAAACATTTGTAATATGTTTCATTTCTTTCACAGAATTACAATATCATTTTCAAGTGTATTAAAGAAAATAATACAAGATGGTCATTCATAATTTCCTGATAAATTTCCCATACAATCGGGTTTGTTTCCTTTTTCATTTTTTTGTGTCCGAATAACTGTTTGTTTATAGTTTTATACATATTATATCTGGTTGTTTTGTTTAACTTGGTTTTTTCCATCATATAATTTATTTTGAAGAACTTGAATATTTGTAACCTAAGGGTGGATGTACCAAGGCCTTTAAGGTGATCTGCGCCATCGTAATATTATCATTTGATTTTGTTTGGTTTGGTTTTAAATAGGTATGTTCATCTGTTGACATCCATTGAATGTGAGGGAATCGAACGGATCTAATCATCCATTGAATGTTGGATTTTGTCAATCGATACAATCCGATTAACATTGCACAACCGATCCTATCAAATGGATAATTGGATCGGTTTTGTTTCGTCCATTAGATAGTCATTTGATCAGATTGGATCCATCCAACATCCATTAGATAATCAAATTGATTTGGATTTATCCAAGGTTTTAATTCAATCAAATTTTCCATCAATGAAACAAATTGATGAATCACTTACAACACAAACGAGGCTAAAAATTCAAAAACCAGCACAAAATAAATTGCGGTTTAAGCAAATTGAAACGAAACGAATTGGATAGTGATTGGATGATTTTAATTGGATTTTGAAATTTTCAGTCAGATCTGATCTAATTACAATTTGATATCTCATAATCATTGGTCGGTTTTAATTGGATCGTCGGTTCCAGTTAGATCGGTTGGCTTTCTGCACATCCTAGTTTTAAAGACTAACAGGATAAATGAATAGATATCCCATCTTTTACAAACCGCCTAAATAGTAGAAACCTTACAAAATTATTTGAGTCGTCCTTGTTTCATCAAAGCTTACATTTGATTGAAAAATCAAAAAGAAAAAGGAAGGGCAATATTGGAACTTGGAAGAAAGTAACAAAATTCATCGATGAAATCAAAAGGCAACAATATGAATAGATGGTTCATATGTGAAATTTAACGCTCCGTATGTGAAACACAAGAAAATGACAGTATTTAGAGATGTTTCACATGTGAAATTTTAGCAAACATAACCGTATATGAAACACAATGGAAGCCAAAGAAAAGTGATAATTCGTTGTAGGGTTTCAATTCACATGTGAATTTTAATTACAAACGAATAAGATACGGATAGATGAAAAAGACAAAAGTACTCGGTTTATATTCTTTAGACGGTTTGCAACTACGAACATTATTTATAACGTTACCGAATTTTTTAGAAGAAAAAATAAACGAAGACGAAAAATAAACGCTAATTGTTAAGAATTACAAATTTTAATGATTATTATTTATTTATAAAAAATAAAAAATAAAAATAAATGGGTAAAAGTATTGAAAACCCTAAAATGCAGATGTGAATGGGGGAGGGGAGGAGAGTAGAGAAGAGGAGGACCACATGAATGCATCTCATGGGGAGGACCCACACAGAATAATAACTTCATCAAATATAGCTTCCATGCAGGAGACAGCTTGACTTTTTGACCTCTTCTCCTTTAACCCCTTTTCTTAGAAATCTTCTTTTCCCTTTTTACCCTTTACCCATTCTAACCTTTTTTCCATATAATTCATATATATATATATATATATAATATAAAATATAAATATAAATAAAATATAGAATTAGTGACTAATTTCTATATATAAAAAGTAATCAAACCTACCATACATCTAATCCCAAATTTAATTTAAATTCGTAGCAAATTAAATTTGTTGCTCTAAAAAAAATAATTACAAGCACGTTATTTATAACTAGCTAACCACCGACTCAGATGGGTACGATGAAATGTCCAACAAACTTCTGTGCTCATTAACCTCTCGAATCCGATTGATACCCTATACAATAAGCAATCGTTTAGCGATTCGTGGCATCAATCGAAACCAATCAAATTGAAATAACGTGTCTACCGCTTACTTGATATGATGTCAGAAGATGAACTCTGGGACTTGCTGTGATCTTGATTTTGTGATGATTTTCTACGTCGGCGGTTGTGATCGGCTAATCTTTTCCGACAACTTCTCTTGCCGTTATCGAACTCGGACAAGAGATGGAATCTTTTTTATACAAAAGTAAAGATTTGTAAATCAATAATTAGTCAATTATTAGTAGTACTAATTAATAAATGAAACAAAAGGAAAGGGTATTTTGGGTATATGTTACTATAAGAAGCAAAAGCAAACAGTACCTAACAAAGACTAAATCCGCAGCTTATATGAGTAACAGAAGTTTTTACGGACCCAAAAATGCCCTCGGGATCACCCCCATGTACACCAATCATTGCCTTTACCTTCCTTGTACCCCTCAAGGCTATTTTCGTCATTTTCTTATTTAATATTTTCTTTTTAATTTTAACTAATTCGTTTTTTCTGGAAAATTAAACAAAAATTCACTGGCTCCCTGCAACTTTTGGTACAATCACTTAATGCATGGGATTATGGTTTTCAGCCCTTTCAGGTGGTCTGATCTTTATGCATTGAGTGGTTGTACCTTGTCGACAGGGGTATAATGGTAAAAGTGGCAAACAACCTGCTGCACTGTTGGCAGAATCGCTGAGTTAACCCGGCGGTGATGACGGTGGAGGCTTTTGAGTGGAACTCACAGACTTTGTGTCGGCGATGGTAGTGCTTGGCGTGTGTAAGATCAGCATTACACCCTTCCGCCTGACATCTCGGCGAGCTCACCAGCGCCGCCTCTAGCGGCCGAGACCGCCGGTACAGCCGGTTCACGAAATCATCCTCCGCCGACGAGAAGTACGTCCGTCCACCCAAGTTCAACCCAATCCGGTTGTTAGTGAAGTCTATGGCACAACCGGAGGGTTCACTCTTCGGCATCAGCATATATCCGGTCTGCCCATGTGAGTTAACGTTTCCGGTTCCCTCAGGTTCGAGTGAAAGCAACGGCGAAGGCGACTCATGTGGGTACGCACAATCGCCGCCGTAGGCGCGTGGGTCGTAGAGAGAGGCGAAATGAGGATGGGTTTGGGTCGGGTTGTTGAGATAGTGGTGATTCGGGTTATGTGTGTGGTGAAGGAAGTCATTCGGGTTGAGATAAGCTGTGTTGGTGGTTTCATTGAAGCTTTGTGAGTACTGATCGAAGATATGGCGGCTCTGGTCGGGCTGTGAAGTGGGTTCGTCGACGGCGACGGCGACGGCGCCGTTGAGCATGATCGTCGACGGGTTCCCCCATTCGTAGTCCAACATTTGAGCTTCCTTGATCGGTTTGTTGATCTGCAAAATATATGAAAAGCTGCCATAGTTTGTGCAGGTTTTAATGGTAAAAAGTGAGAGTGCAGGGTGAGGGTATAGTTGAGCAAAATATGAGGTAAGATAAATGTACAACTTATAATGCATAATTTACAACTGTCTTTTGCTACATGTTTTGGATTTAACAATTTCGGTTCTGGAAAAAGGATTTACCATAATGAAAGGTAGAGAACTCACCTTATGACATGCTTGCACAATTAACACAATTATTTTTAAAAAAATTCTCATTTTTAATTATATATTTTAAATAAAAACATTTAATATTTCTAAGTGGCTTTTTAAGGTAGTGTTTGTTTTTTAAAAGATGTTGAAGTCTGAATTTTGATTTCAGTTCTGATTTTTAAGAGGTGGTGCTAAAGTCTGAAATATGAATCAATCAGACTGTTTGTTTTTGTAAATTGACAAACGTCTGAAATCTGAAATTTAAAATCTGAATCAATTCATTTCAGTGAATTCAACTGAAATATTCAATCATTTAAATCATTTGTAAACTACCATCTATTTTTAACACATTCAAAAATTCAATTGAAATACGTCAATTGATTCAACACATAATAGAAAACACAAACAAAATCTCATAACAACTAGAATCAATATTCATTTTGCATTAATTGTGTCACAATTTCTTCTCTAAAACTAGCCATATATGTTTGGTCAACGGCACTCCCATGTGATTAAACATCTTCAGCCTCATCCTCGTCATCGTTCTCTTGCTCGTCCTCATCATCGTTCTCTTGCTCGTCCTCATCATCGTTCTCTTGCTCGTTGGTTTGATCATACTCAGAAAATAACTCATCACTTAAACCTTCCTTTCGTATGAAGTTGTGAACTGCAAAACATGCAATAACAACGTATCTTTGAACTTCAAGTGTAAATTGTATCATTTTTTTAATATTGGAAAACGTGCTTTCAGGACGCCATAAGAACATTTAATAACATTTCTAAGTTTTGCATGAGAATGATTAAACTTTTCATAATTGTTCATTGTTTATCGACGACGAAAATCTTCGAACCAATATCTAACATTACTATACGACGCCATAAATCCTCGAGTATTTGTATACGCAGCATCACATAGATAATATTTATATATCTGAAGACAATAAATAAAATGTTTGTTCAATAGTATATAGTAAATATAGAACCTATAATATCAATAGTATACCTGAAGGAGGAAATGAAAATCCAATATTATATAGTAAATATATTACCTGTAAAATCAATCGATGATCTCAAAAAAATATTTCTGAAAGTCTAAAGAGTTGTTTGGTAGTTGCTGAATGGTTTGATATTGAATGATTAAGTGATCAGAATGATTAAGTCTTATAATATAGCACAAGAATTATAATTGTTAGTGATTGTCCAGAATGAAATTAAGGCACTGAATGGTTAAAGGAGTCCCAATATACAAAATCATTCAGAGGGTTCTAGAACAATTAAGAGACAAACTTTTTTGTTAAACAAGATTTACTTTTTAACAATTCAGAAATTGTCTCTTAATTAAACTACTAAGAGCTAAACAAACAGTCCCTAAAACTTATTATCTGTTAAGTTAATCTCACAATATTGGAGTTGTTTATTTTGAGAATAATAAAATAAAGTTTTTAAAAAAAAAATTCGAAGCAAGTTGCATTCTCAGTTTTTCTATCACGGGAGAAATAAAATTTGGGAAGTTTTATAACAAAAAAAACTCTAAAAACATTATTGTTGTTCGTTTTAGAGAAGATGTTGAAGATGTTCTTAAAATTTCGATATTATATTAAAGTTTAAGGTTACATATTATTATAACTTTTGAAAACTAGATAATAAATTATATAGCTTTATCTTGTTTGCTTAAAGTAAGAAAGAGTTCAGATCTTTTATTACGTTTTTCACTTTAACTCATATTCTTACACGAACCTTCGTTCGTATGTATATACGGAGGAAATATCTAGAAAGAGTTTGGTTCACGTGAGACCAGTCTGTTTTCGTGAAACCCGTGAGACAACATTTTTACACTTGAAACTTTACAGCAAAATATTGTGAAGGTAAAAAAAATCCGAACTTTCACAGGAAAAATACTATAAAGGTTAAATTCACGATGTGGAGTTTTATGTGTAAAAAAATTATCTCATGAAAATAAGTTGGTCTCACGTGATTCCAAGTTTATCTAAAAATATAGATTTTATTTATTTTGATTGTTTGTAAATATAATATTGCTTCATATAATAATACTTTTGTATTATTTTTGCTATATTTTAATGTACAAGTTTTTAATTTTTATATTGTTAATGTAGTTCAAGTATTTAAATATTATTAAATCAAATAATATAAGGTTAAGTTATGGCGTGTAATGTAACATCCTAGTATCTCGGAAAGGGTATAAATGGGATAATAAAATATTGGTGGCAAAATTGTCTTTGTATGTAATTAGGTTTTGAACGTAACAAGTGGTTTTTGTGTGGATACAAATAAAACAAAAAATCCGGTTTGAACCCAGACGTTGTTAAAATTTCCGTGATCATAGAGGTTCACTTACAATAACTCCATGTCATTCGTGGTCGTCTGGAAAATTAGTCGGTGGGTACAAACATACCCAAGAACTCACGGTTACAAAAAGCATTAGTAGCCTCACGATCTACTTTTTTTCCTGTGAATTAGACGTGTTTCTCAAGTAAAGTTTCAGTGTGTGAAAGTTCAGTATTTTTTTAATGTGAGCGTTCGTTGTTTGCTGTGAAGGTTTCGCGAGATATATGGCTCGACAATCATGTAGGATTGTTAAGCTGAAAGAAGATCTCTCACTAAATATAAACTGTTATATATTGTGCTCAATCAGATTACACAATTTTGTTTAGTACCGTACGCATTTAGTAACTGCTTTCAATTGATAATACTGAAATGTTGTTTTGGTACATTCACATGTTTTCGGTAGAGAGATTTGCCATCACAACATATTAAACATTTTTATAGCCGAAACCAGTATACAACAACGTACAACCTTTTGGTCACCAACTAATCGTTCCAAAAATGACGATGGCGGATTTGACAACCTCCATATTGCAAAAAAATTTACCGAAGTAAAAAGAAAAAACATTCCTTCGGACCATTTTGCTTTGATATTCTTGTGAAACTTTTAACCTTTGCTTCTATATTTTGGATGTAGTACTGTTACTCCAACTAAATTACGAGACTTCAAACGTTTCTTCCATATGAAGAGAACGAAGTCCAGATCTTGACAAAAAAAACCCGAATACGTCATATATCCTATATCCGACAAACAACGAATTAATAACACATGTGGAACCCGCTTTATTTACTTTTGTTGCTCTTTAAATTTTAATACTGTTATGATTTGATTTGATTTGATGCCCATTAATTATGATCCGAAAACAAATGTTTGTTTTAACGTCCAAATTAGTGGAAACAAGTAAGGGGGTAATGAAGGGTATGTCCCTAATTTTAATTTTAATCAATAATTTATGAGTCAAATCAGATCTTCTATTTGTTGATAAGTAAATTAATATGACATATATCTGATTTTTTTTTATTTTTGGAGAAAATTCAATAAATGAACACCCTGTTCTAGCATTGTTTCGTTTCTACATGAAACAGACCACCATAATAACGCTTATGTCATGTAGACATGTTATAGAAACTTCTAGAAGAATAAATCTAACGGATTTTGAAGTAAATAAAACGCTTTTTCTAGCAATTATTTATGTTTGACTCTAAATTTATGAAAGGGGCAAAAGATTCATGGGATGAAAGAACAAACATTAAAAATTAAGGAATAAAGTACAAACTAAGTACTACTTTGATTTGTTCCAATCTCAAATACCATAACAAATTAAGTACTTTGTGTTTGCATTTGAATCCTTCATGACCAAGATTTTAGCCCTTATGTCCTTGATCTTTTGAGTACAACGGTACAGTTCCTGCTCTTATTTGCATGTCATGAAAACTGGAAAAAAAAGAACAGTTATCTGATCAGGGTTATTCGTCAGTATTAATCAGTCATGTGAAGAAATAACCATGAAGTTGAGCAGTCTAAGTTGAGGTTCGATAACGGAATTCTTCAGCTGAGTTTGGGTTGTAGTCGGTTTTTTATTGTGTTTAACAGTTGTTTAGCAAGTAAAACTGACATATAGCAACGATGAGACAAACTTTGTCGATATTGTTGGAGGAAAAAATACGGGGGCGTTAAAACTCAAGGGAAAGGTGAATGAGCAAAGTTGACTTGTGTAGCAAAGAGATCTGTTACATCATGAGATCCCTCAGGACCCAAGTTATCGAAAGTAGTTGTCATTCCATAGGGATTAGGACATGTAGGGTAGAATACAAATTAACACCTCCAAGATTGACGGTTAAAGAGGCTTATATGCCAACGTTGTCCATTTCAGGGGTCTTTTTAACAGATAAAAAGGTAAACACTGACCATAAAAATGTAACTAAGTGCTACTAATACTGCTTTCATTTAGCCAAATGATGAATGGTATAACAAATGTACCTGATTTTTGCATTTGAAGCCTTTATGACCAAGAGTTTAACTTCAGTGGTCTTTATTGTTTATGTACTTGAACACAATAAATTGATACGAGACCCGAGTCTTGTCTATGCATCATAAATGTTAGATATCATTACACGCCTAATTTGTCATACCCATGAATACGTGCCTCTTGAGTACAAAATACATAACAATGATTTAGTAATCGGCGACCCCACAAATTCAGATATACATACAACTCCTGCCTCTGAATTGAAGTAAAATATTTTGTCTTAAAGAATTGTAAAAATGGAAAATGGTACATTTTCTTTGTAATGGCATCAACTATTGAACATGTTACCTGATTTGAGTTCAAAATGTATCCATATTTCAACTATAAATGAGTTATGGTAGTTAAACAAAGTAACATCACAGTTTCTCCGTTTTTAAGGACATAAAATCAGCTTGGCCATGT